TGGCCACAAAGGCCAGAGCTGCACCGATCCAAAGCCAGGAGCCAGGAGCTTCCTCCGTGTCTCCCATGTGGGTGCAGGGGCCCAAGGACTTGGGCCATCCTCTACTGCTTTTTCAGGCCATAGCAGAGAGCTGGATGGGAAGAGGAGCAGCCAGGACTAGAACCGGCATTCATATGGGATGCTGGCGCTTCAGGCCAGGGCGTTAACCCACTGTGCCACAGCGTAGGCCCCTGTAATGTATTTTGAAACCAGAGAGTGTGATACCTTTCAACTTCATGTTTTATTTCTTTTTGTTCAAGATTGCCTTGGTTATTTGAGGTCTTTTGTGGTTCCATAAGAATTTTAGGGTTGTTTTTACATTTATGTGATAAATCCCATTGGAATTTTGATAGAATTTGCACTGAATCTCTAGCTTGTTTTCAGTAGTGTGGATATTTTAACAATATTAGCCCATGAAAATTCAATATCTTTCCATTTACTTGTGTCATCTTCAATTTATCTAATCAAAGTGTTTTATAGTTTTCATTGTACAGACCTTTCACTTCCTGGATGAAATTTACTCCTAAGTATTTTATTTTTTATACTGTTGTAAATGAAATTGTTCTCTTAATTTTTTGTCAGATATTTTGTTGTTACTGTATAAAAACATTGTTGGGTTTTTGTTGTTGTTGATTTTGTACCCTACAACTGTACTGAGTTCATTTATCAATTCTGACAGTTTGCTGGTGGGCTCTTTAGAGTTTTCTATATCTCAAATCATATCATCAGCAAACAGCAAGGTTAACCTCTTCATTTCTATGTGGATGCCTTTTATTTATTTTCCTTGCCTATTGCTCTGGCTTTGACTTCTAGTACAACATTGAATAGAAGCAGTAAAAATTGGTGTTCTTGTCTTGTTCTTGATCTTAGAGGAAAACTTTTCAGCATGTCATCATTGAATATGATGTTAGCTGTGCATTTGTCATATTTGACCTCTATTGTGTTAAGGTATATTCCTTCTATTTGTAATTTGTTGAGAATTTTTTTATCATGATAGTATATTGAATTTTTATTTTTTTAAATTGCAGAAAAAATATTGGAGGGAGGGAGGGAGAGAGAAAGAGAGGGAGAGAAGGGGAGGAAATGAGAGAGAGAGAGAGAGAGAGAGAGAGTCAGTCTTCCATCTGCTGTGTGCACTCCCCAAATGGCTGCAACTGCTGGAGCTGGGCCAATCCAAAGCCAGGAGCCAGGAGCTTCTTCTGGGTCTCCCATGCAGATACAGGGGCCCAAGGACTGGGGCCATCTTCTACTGCTTTGCCAGGCCATCAGCAGGAAGCTGGATCAGAAGTAGAGCAGCCAGGACTTGACCTGGTGCCCATATAGGATGCTGGCACGGCAGGTGGCAGCTTAACCTGCTATGCCACAGCCCTGGCCCCAAAATTTACCTTTTAATTTTTGCTTTGATAAGTGACTGTTAAGGAGCATGTTGTTTAGATTCTGCATATTTGTGAGTTTTCCAAGATTATTCTTATTATTGCTTTCTAGTTTCATGCTATTGTGTGCAGAAAAGATACTTGATTTGAATATTAAATTTTTAAACTTGTTTTGTGTCTTAACATATGATTTATTGTAGAGAATGTTCCAAATGCACTTGAGAAGAATGTGTATTCTATTATTGAATAAAATGTTTTATAAATATATTTTATGTCTATTTATTCTAAAGTATAGTTGAAGTCTAATGTTTCATTATTGTTTTTTTTTAAATATTTGTGAGGCAGAGAGACAGATTTTCAGAGATAGCTCCCCTGCACTGGTTCATTCTCCAAGTGCCTGCAACAGCTGAGGCCAACGCTGAGAGCTGGAAACTCAATCATGCTTTCCATGTAGATGGCAGGAACTCAATTACTTGAGCCAATGCTATTCATAGTGTGTGTTAGTAGGACCCTGGACTCAGAAGCCAGAATTGGATATGAAACCCAGGTATTCATAGTCTGAGCATGTTAAGTAATAGGCTAAACACTTGCCCCTTCTTATTTGTTTTCTAACTAGATGATCTGTCCAGTGTTAAAAATGGAGTATTGGAGTATCCTACTGTTGCTGCATTGGAGTCCATCACTTTACATCTGCTAATGTTTGCATTATAGTTTTAATTGTTCTAATGTTGGGGAGTTATGTATATATTTATAATTGTTATAAGTTCTTGTTGAATTGGTACCCCTTATTATTCTATAATGATTTATGTGGTCTCTTTTAAAGTTTTTGTCTTAAATTCTCATTTTGTCTTATATAAACAAAACTACCCCCAATCTTTTTTTTTCCAACTGCTTGCAATTTCTTTTTCCATCCCTTCCTTTTCAATCTGTGTCATGAGAGGTGAAGAGAATTTCTTGTAGGCAACATATTCTTGAGTCTTTTTAAAAATCCATCTAGCCACTTGATGACTTTTGAGTAAATAATTTAATCCATTTATTTTCAAAGTACTGATGCTTCTTGACTTACAGTGGGCCTACACCCATCTTACATTGAAAATATCATAAGTCAAAAGTGCATTTAATATTCCTTACAAAACTACAGCTTAGCAGTGTAGTGTGCTGTCTAGTTGTGGCTGTTTATACTCATGATTGGGTGGCTGATTGGGAGCAGCCACTCACCGCTGCTGCCACCAAGTGTGAGAGAGTATCATCCTGCATGTTGCTAGCCCAGGAAATGATCAATATTGAAAATTTTGAATATCTATGAATGTATATCGCATTTCATACCATTGTAAACTTAAAAAGTTGTTAAGCCATTTTAAATTGGGGACTATCTGTAATTATTGGTAAGTAAGGACTTACTATCGCTATTTTTGTTCATTGTTTTCGGTTCACCTATAGATTCTTTCTTCCTCTCTTCCTCTCTTGCCATCTTCCTTTGTGGTTTGATGATTTTCTTTTTTTTTTCCTTTTTTTTAAATTTTTTTTATTTGACAGGTAGAGTTATAGACAGTGAGAGGGAGAGACAGAGAGAAAGGTCTTCCTTCCGTTGGTTCACTCCACAAATGGCCACTACGGCCAGCGCTGTGCTGATCCAAAGTCAGGAGCCAGGTCCTTCTTCCTGGTCTCCTATGTGGGGGCAGGGGCCCAAGGACTTGGGCCATCCTCCACTGCCCTCCCGGGCCACAGCAGAGAGCTAGACTGGAAGAGGAGCAGCTGGGACTAGAACCTGGCGTCCATATGGGCTGCTGGTGCCGCAGGCAGAGGATTAGCCAAGTGCTGGATAGATTTTTTTGCTCTATGCCCTGCTTCTTTTTCCTCTTTGCTTCTTGAATCTGTGGTTTGATTTTTTATGATTAATTTTCAGAAATGCTGTCATTATTACTACAAATATTTCCTCTTTTCCTGGTTATTTTTCCTCTCCTAATAATCCCATCACATATATGTCCCACAGTTCTCAGATATTCTGTTCTTTTTCTTTTTTTTTTTCTTTGCATTTCTGTTTTGGAACTTTTATTGAGAGATCTTCAGACGCATTGATTGCTTCCTCAGCTGTGCGCAGTCTACTGATGAGTTCATCAAACACATTCTTCACTTCTCTTATGGTGTTTTAGTTTCTAGAGTTTGTTTTTGATTCTTAGAGTTTTCATCTCTCCTTATATTTTCTATCTCCTATTTTATGTTGTCATTTTATTTATTATATCCCTTAGCATATGAATCATAGTTGTTTTAAATTGCTAGATTGATAGTTCCAACATCTCTGTCATATCTGACTCTCATTCTGATATTTGCTGTGCCTCTGCAAACTGTTTTCTGTCTTCCAGTATACCTTTTAATTATTTGTTGCAAGCCAGACATGATAAAATGGATAAAAGGGGCTGAAGTACACAGCTCTTTAGTGTGACATGTTATGTTTTATCTGCTTCTGTTTACCATTTGTTGTAACTGTAGGTGATAAAAGTTAAATTTCTTCCTGGTTTCCTTGTTTTTATCTCTTTTGAGACTTCTTAAATATTTATCATCTGAGAAGCATAGTTCTTTTAGTCATATTTCCTTGTTATTATAAGGAAGCTCTTCTGATGTAGAGATAAGATGGTGGGAGGGGTGTGTCAGTCCTCCTGTGATTATGAGCTTGTCTTTTAGTGAGATGTGCCGTTGCCCTGTGATCTCTCAGTTTTGTTTTGATTTTCCCCACCTAGCTGGGTCTAGAGTTGACTATTTCCCTTCACCTAGGTAATTTAGTTTCTGATAAGACTGTAGTAAGTTGGGGGTTGGGAAAAATAGTTTCTCTTTAGGGTAGGCCTTACTAAAGAGAAGAGAAGGCTCAAGGATGTGCTTTAAAATGGCTACTTGCTTGCCTTCTGTCCCTCCTTGAAGCATGGAAGGGATTTCTCAGATTTTTATTGTGAGAATCTAAAAGAGCTCTTGAAGCTAAAATTTACAATAGTGTGGGAATCCCCCAAGGCTATACCATTCCCCTGGAATTTTTAACCCTCAAATTTATATGTATTGAGCCACTAACAGTTTGTCAATTATGAATTAGGTTTTCCTCTTGGGGCAACTGGTTCCCAAGGGGTTTTCTGCTCCCTTGCTTCTGCTCCAGTGTGTTTTGATTCTCTGTATTTTCTGTTTCCTCAGCTTTGGGGGCAGTAGTTTGGTGTATGACCTCAGTTTGCTGATGGATCAAGGGAGAGTTGACTTTCAGTTTATTCAGCTTTTTTCTTCTGTGAATGGACAGATGACTTACAAGGTCCTCACATGCCAGACCAGAATGCAAGGGAAACACCAGAAAACTCAATTTTGTAATGTTCTGGTTTCTTGAAAACTGGAAAGAGTAACCAGCTTTTAAAAAGTCCCAAGTTTTCAATTCTGCAAATATTTTGTTGAAATAATGTTTATTGCGGAGTTATCAAAAGTGATATATCCATTACTCAAGTTAAATCTTATCAGCGTCTTACACATACACAATGAGACACAATGGGATCATGTACTTTTCCTTTGAAAGGTCGTAAATATTAACTTTTCTTTCTTATTTACTTTTCTCAATAGATCCCAAATGCCCAGGAGATGTCGATTTTCATAATAGTGACTGGGACATTAAGACAATCACCAGCTCCTTGAAATTCTACCTCAGGTATGCCTGCTTTAATTTGGGACTTTGATTTTCATGCTTGATTAAATGATTCTGAGTGCTGATTGGAATTAATATGGTCATAGTTTCAGGAGGTTAAGTATGATTGGTAAAGAAAAAGAATGAAGAGAATTTCTGTTGAAGAAGAATTCATTGTCAGACTTTTAATGAATCTGAGAATTTAAGCAAAAGGAGCATATAAATTATTATTGAAAAAATCTTTTAAGCTATTTTAAAAATCATGCATTTGAAATATTTGAAGGTTTGCGCTTTAAAGATAGATTGTCATAATGGGTTCACTAAGTAAAATCATGACTTTTTACAATTCAGCATTGTTAACATGTTTTAGTGGATTACAAAAATTTGGAGACATCAAATTGCATTTGGAAAAAAATATCATGTGTTGGAGTGTGTATGTGTTTGTGATATCATGCCTTAATCTATATAATGGAAATAAAGACAAGAAAACACAACCATAAAAAATTTTGGAGGTAAATGAAGTGGCAGCAGTATGAAAAAAGTTAACATACCAGAAAATTTGGGGATGCACAATGATGATGAATGTATTGTTCAGTTTGTTGGTAAAATTTTATATTATGAAAAAAATGTTTGAGGCATATATTACATATATATACACACACAATGTGCATATTTTATACCCATTCATTTCTTAGCATTTTCTGTGTCCCATAGTAGATACCATATTTTGTATAAAAATGTCTTATTTTCAACTGATGTGCTCTTTAGGCATTAAGATACTTAAACTCAATATTACTAATCTAAAAATAGATTGAGTCTCAGATATTACTGTTAAACAGCTTTCTGCTATAGTATTATCTTAGTTTTATGTAAACACGAATGTTCTTTTTACTGGTAGTATTCATGATGCGTTTGCTAAAGAACAAAGGAACAATTATTAGAGGGTTTATTCTTTGCCAGGCCCTGTGCTAGTTGCTCACATAGACAGTACTATTGTCTCTTCTCTCCTAATAACTGTACTGTAGGTGCCATTATACAGATGAGGAAACTGAGATGCACCTCTTGTCCCACTAAGTAATATCCGTAGTCACAGCTAGTATTATTTGAACCTAACTGTCTCTGACATCTTCTTCCCCTACATCCAAGGACTGTGGACTTTGCTTGGGCAATTTAGTGAAGACAGGGAACAATTTAGAAGACTCAGGGTAATGAGAATTGTGGGAGCAAGTGATTCTATGTCTCTGGTCTCCTTCAGAGGAGTAAAAAAATTCAAATATGTATATAAGTTAAGGCCTTTCTCACATTACTTCATTCGTACCTCATCTTGTAATAAACAAGGTAGACCTTTTGTGAAAGGAAGATTGTGCCCAAAACTGTGAGTGGGCAACATCCCCAATAAGGGATGCTTTTCCCTGAGATACTCATACGTGGAGCTTGGCTGTAAACTGACAGTCAACACTTTAGATTTCTCTGGGATGTCAGTGTTTTCAGAGTGGGTGTCCATTTGTGTTTTAAGTACCTAAATCACTCCTTGTCTTCAACATTTCCAGAAAGTACTCAAAAAATCATCTCCTCTGTCTCCTGCCTCTTTAACCTTTCTCAGTAAGCTGAATCTTGGGGTAAGCCTTTAACCTAAATGGTTAAGATGGCAGTTAAGATGCCTGAATTCCACACTGGTATATCTGGGTTTGATTCCTGACTCAAACTCCTACTCTAGCTTACTCTAGCTTCCTGCTAATGTAGACTAATGCTGATACGGGAGGTAACAATAATTGTTCAAGTAGTCAGGTTCCTGCCAGCCACTTGGGAGACCTGGATTCAGTTCCCAGCTCCCAAACTTTGGCATGGCCCAGCTTTGGTTGTTACGGGAATTTGCAATGAACCACTGGCTAGAGATCCATCTCTCTCTCTCTCTCTCTCTCTCTGCCTCTGAAATAAGAAAATAAATAAATATTCAAATAAAAACTGGTTCTTTTCTCTCTGTATATAAATATGCCCCAGAATTGCATACCTCTAAATCACTAAATCATTCAATAAAAATTTCCTGAGTACCAACCTCCTTTATGCCAAACTGGATGCTAAGCAGTAGGCATGTAGTTGTAAGGAGATATAGTCTCTGACTTTAAAGAAATTATGGTCTAATAGGGACTGGGGTGGGGGTATGAACAGAAAGAGGACAATAACCTTACAGATGTAACAAAATGTAATAAATGATCCGAAGGAAAGGTATAACGTGGTATGAGTACATTTAATAGGAAGACCTAACCTGGTGGAATATTGAATAAAGAGAATGAGGGGGAGCTCTGTAGAAGCCACATCGTGCTGGACCTAATTGACTTATTAAAAATGAGGGTCTGAATTTTTTTTTTTTTTGACAGGCAGAGTGGACAGTGAGAGAGAGAGACAAAGAGAAAGGTCTTCCTTTTTCCATTGGTTCACCCCGCAATGGCTGCTGCGGCCAGCGCACCATGCTGATCCAAAGCCAGGAGCCAGGTGCTTCTCCTGGTCTCCCACACGGGTGCAGGGCCCAAGGACTTGGGTCATCCTCCACTGCACTGCCAGGACACAGCAGAGAGCTGGACTGGAAGAGGAGCAACTGGGACAGAATCCGGCGCCCTGACCGGGACTAGAACCCGGTGTGCCGGCGCCGCAGGTGGAGGATTAGCCTAGTGAGCCGCGGTGCTGGCCTGAATTTGTCTTAAAAAGAGTGAAAATATATTGAAGGATTTTAAGCAGCATATTACATGATATGATTTGTGTTTTTCGGCCAGCGCCACGGCTCACTAGGCTAATCCTCCGCCTGCGGCGCCGGCACACCGGGTTCTAGTCCCGGTCGGGGCGCCGGATTCTGTCCTGGTTGCTCCTCTTCCAGTCCAGCTCTCTGCTGTGTCCCGGGAGTGCAGTGGAGGATGGCTCAGGTGCTTGGGCCCTGCACCCGTGTGGGAGACCAGGAGAAGCACCTGGCTCCTGGCTTCAGATCGGCGCTGTGCACTGGCTGCAGCGCACCGTTCCTAGCGGCCATTAGGGGAGTGAACCAACGGAAAGGAAGACCTTTCTTTCTGTCTCTCTCTCACACTGTGCACCTCTGCCTGTCAAAAAAAAATGATTTGTGTTTTTCATTAAAATGGTATAGAGATTAGATTAGAGGAACACAAAACAGAGGTAAAAGGCAATGAGCAGGCTGTTGGTTTTGTGCAGGCAAGAGATGATGTTCGCGCTTAGACTCATGGTTAACAATGGAGATTGGTAGAAATAAACATATTGAGGACATATAGGAAGTGATATTGATGAATTGGGTTTGAGAAAGAGGGAGAGAAATGAAGGGTTGACATTCTTGTTTGTGGCTCATATAACCAAATGACAGTCATGAATTTATAGATTTGAGAAACATGAGAAGACTACATTTGATGGAGACAGTAAGTTGAGTTTTGAATAAGTCAACTTTGGCTGCCTTTTTAAAAAATATTTATTTTATTTATTTGAAAGACAGTTATAGAGAGAGGTAGAGCCAGAGAGGGGAGGAGGGTTTCCATCTGCTGGTTCACTCCCCAAATGACCACAATGGCCAGAGCTGAGATGATCCAAAGCCAGGAGTCAGGATCTTTTTCTGGGTCTCCCACATGGGTACAGGGGCCCAGGCACTTGGGCCATCTTCTACTGCTTTCCCAGGCCATAGCAGAGAGTTGGATCAGAATTGGAGCAGCCAGGACTCGAACCGGTGCCCATGTGGGATACCGATGCTGCAGGCCAGGGCTTTAACCCAATGCACCACAGTGCCGGCCCCTTGGCTGCCTTTGAAGAAATTAGGAGACTATGATAAGCAGGTAATTGGATATATAGGTCTGAAACTCAGTGATGAGTTCTGGGCTTGAGATAAAATCTTGGGGTTTATTGACCATATAGGTGATTTGAGCCCAGAGCTCAGGTAAGATTGTCTAGTGAGATACTTCACTCCTTCTCAAGTAAGCATTTGTAACAAGACATATACTCCCTGCCTGTACTTGTTAATTGCTCCCCCACGCCTTTGCTGTTTACTCTTATCTCATTGTAAACTGACTCTCACTCCTTTTGTTCCCTTGAACTGCTCTTACCAAGGTCACCACTGACTCCCTCAATGTTGCACACAAAGAGAAATTGTCAGTCTTTACCTTGCTTGACCTTTTTTTGCAGCATTTGAAACTGTTACCAAGCCATCCAGGAAACTTTGTCCTCTTGGGTTTTGCTTATCACTTGTTTTGGTTTTTCTCTTACCTCTTTAGCCACTTTCTGCAGTGCCCTTTATGGGCTGTCTGCTTGGCATTTGCTAGAGCATCATTCTCTTGTCACCAAACTACAGGGAAGGAAAACTCATGTATTTACACGGGCCAGGAAATGCAAATAAATGGAGGAGACTATTTTCATATTAAACACATCACATATTGGACCTGTAGTTACACGGCAGACCTTTGTTTATATATAAACAGTAGAATTCGTTATTTCCACGGATAACCACGTTGGACCAGTGGAGCTAGATCTACCCATTTCTCAGCAGAGGTGAGACCTATCCATTTTTGTAGGGAATATCTGATTTTTCATATCTTGGTCACTGGTTCAATTCCATTTCATTTTTAAATGCTGTGCTGGACAAACAAGAAATGCCATAAGGTCTCATGAAGCCATTTGCCTGCCAGTTTGGCCCATTTCTGCCAAAGCAGTGTCACCTCTTCTCATGGTTTTTACCACCCTTCTAATTTCATAATTCACATATCTGATTTTCAGAACTAGAAGGGCCCTGCACCTACTTTTGTTTCCCTTGTAGATTTATTTATTTACTTGAAAGGCAGATTTACAGAAACCAATACAGAAAGAAAGAGGTCATCCATCTGTTGGTGCACTCCCCAAGTAGCTGTAATGGCTGGGGCTAGACCAGGCCAACGCCTGGAGCCTTCATCTCCATACAGTTCTGCCACATGAGTGCAGAAGCTCCAGTACTCAGGCCATCTTCCACTGCTTTCCCAGGCACATTAGCAGAGAGCTAGTTTGGAAGTGGAACAGCCAGGACTTGAATTGGTACTCGTATGGGATGCCAGCATTGCAGGCTACAGCTTAATCCGCTGCACCACGGTGCCGGCCCCATCCATTTCTTCATAGTCGTCTCTCCTTCTGAACCCTGAGACCCTCTGATTGAGCATCTCTACTTCCCTCCTAGTCATTTCACCTAAGCCAGTTCACTTTGTCCCTTCCTGTCATACCCATTCAGTGAGGCAATTCTGTCTTTAGCATCTTTTTTTTTTTAATTTTTTAATTTTTTTATTTTTTGACAGGCGGAGTGGACAGTGAGAGAGACAGAGAGAAAGGTCTTCCTTTGCCGTTGGTTCACCCTCCAATGGCCGCCGTGGCCAGCACACTGCGGCCAGCGCACCGCGCTGATCCGATGGCAGGAGCCAGGTACTTATCCCTGGTCTCCCATGGGGTGCAGGGCCCAAGCACTTGGGCCATCCTCCACTGCACTCCCTGGCCACAGCAGAGAGCTGGCCTGGAAGAGGGGCAACCGGGACAGAATCCGGCGCCCTGACCGGGACTAGAACCCGGTGTGCTGGTACCGCAAGGCGGAGGATTAGCCTAGTGAGCTGCGGCGCCAGCCCTTTAGCATCTTTAAAAGCATTCTATTCACCTTTTCTTTCTATCTCTGTGTCCGCTATTTCTGTTTAGGTCTTTATTTCATCTCTTGTCTGGATTACAACAGCAGTAACCGAGGCAGACAGTATAGCATAGTGACCATATAGCGTGGACTCTGGATATAGACTACCTGACCCTGCCACTTATTAGCTGTTTAATCTTGGATGAGTTTTTAGATTCTACTGTGCCTCAGTTTCCTCATCTTTAAAGTAGAGATAACAATTTCCATGAAGTTTATATGAAGTTATGCATGTGAATCACTTAGAACAATACAGTGTGCTATGATTATCATTAGTAGTAGTACTAGTAGTAGTAGTAGTAGTAGTAGATTACTTCCATCCTCTGAGCCACCTGCCATATACTTTTATGTTATTATCACACTTGTCCCACTGCATTGTAGGTTTTATATATGGGATCTGCTTTGACTAGACTTAATAATGGAAGTGTGGGCTATGTCATACTCATCTGTGGATTCTCAATACCTGACAATGTCGGGCACAAGTAGGTGTCCAGTCAATGTTTCTTGACTAAATGTATTTGATCCTCATTTTTCTCTTCCGTTAAATGGGAATTTGAATAATGGCTCTACCTCACCAAATACGAGGACAGAAGCAAAAGCACTTTGGAAATTCTAAGAACTATCAAATTGTAAGGGATCCATGGTAGTGTTCAGAGCGGAATCAATTTAGAATTTTGCAGAACTGGTTTGTGCCTCCTTTCACTTCTGGAAGCTAATTGGAGACCTTGCTAGAAGCGTCAGCCCATACCTTCGCAGATGTTATGTTGAATTACTAGCAACTTGGATTCTCCTGACAAAACATCAAGTGATGAGAAAAATGTATGTAGTCACAGTAAGCTGTGGGGCTCAGAAGCTTCAGCCTCACTGCCCACAGATCTGAGGATCCAAGGCCTGGCTACTCCTTCCCAAAAGGAACTTACAGTCTTCATTAATTTCAGGAATCTTTCTGAACCTGTCATGACCTATAGGCTTCACAAAGAGCTGGTCTCTGCTGCCAGTAAGTATCGATGTTACTAGTTAATTGTGTTGTTCTGGTTTCTTAGTAAGGTTTATAGCAATAAGCCTAGCATGCTGCCGGAGGGAAAGTGATTGAGGGCAAAAACCCCAAAACGCATACACAGATTTTGCCCACTTCCAAAGGAGCATATGCTTGCTTTCTGTCTTAACTCAAGAGTTGTATGATTTTTTGCAAGTCATGTTAGTTGAGTGGGTTGGAGCAAATTGGCCAAGTTGAGAGATGTGACAGGTATAAAGACTGTATTACCTCTCCCATCAGAACAAGAGCAATGGCTCCTATTACCCCAGGGACAGAGCAAAATGATCACATTATAGTCACTATTTCAGCTTCCTTCAGTGCTTTGCCTTTTCAATTGCATTTCCATTGTGTTGTAAATCAATGCTCCTAATCCATTAGTTTGCACTAACAGTTGAAAAATCACATTTTCCACCTGAGAAAACTGAGGGTGAGGATGGAAGGCTACATGGAAAATAGGGTGTATTGAATCACCCCAAAAGCTGGCAACTGAGGAAGCATTAGAAGTTTTGACTGAGGCCACTGTCTGAGTGTCCGTCCCTACCCCTACATGACCCACATCCTGCCTTATGCCCCTGTGGTGTGCAGGAAAATATTCGGGGGACTTGACCTCATCCTGGGTCTTTGCTGAGGCAAGGGAACTTTGGTCTTTACTTCTGGGCTCTCTCAATGGTTTTTCACAGGAAACCGGAAGTAGGAGTGTATACTGCTCTGTGCGAGGAAGGTGGGTGGGAAAAAGTTTCCAGCTGGAAGTTTACATGTGGGACTTTAGGACAAAACTGTCCCTGGAATTTTTACTTCCTTGGAGATAGCTTGTTGTCATTTTTTTCTCATCTTTTTCTTGCCATCTCTTGCCTTTCATCCTGTTATGCCTATTCATGGTACTTCATCAAGGTCATGGGAAAATGGAGTTAAATATAAGCTTATTTTGGCACAAAAAATTTGAAATCCATGAATAGTATTTTTATAATACACATTTTACATTAGCTTTTTGAGGACCCCTTGCATTTCTTTGTTCTGTTTTTCCTCTTTGCCTTTTGTTCAATCTTTGTTTCTTGTTCTCTCTGACATTGTGTTTCTGCCTATTTATCTCCCTATCTCTTTCCATTTTTTTTGACACTCTCTGTGTCGATTTTTATTTCATCTCAATGTGTGTGTGTGTGTGTGTGTGTGCATATCCATATGAGAGTTTGTTCAATCCAGTTGCCCAGAGAACCAAACCATCCTTCTTGCTGTTCTCTCTCAGAGTCTGATAACCTGGACTACCGGCTGGGAGCCATCCATTCCCTGGTATATAAGCTACCAGAAAAGAACCGAGAGATGCTAGAACTTCTGATAAGACACTTGGTCAAGTAAGTAACTGATGGGTGTTCAGAAAGAGTTCCTAATGGAGGACTGGCCTGCTAGTAGTACTGTGGAGAGAGTATCTCCCAGCTTCTTAAGTTCCAGCCCCCACCTGCATCCATAATATGCTGCATACGGTGTGAGGAGGATGAATGTGCTTTGATTCCTGTGTATCAAAGAGTCATACATTAGATTGTCTTGGTTGAAACGTTTACCCTTCATGGCTAGAGTGGGCTGAAAGCAGCCTTTGCTGTCAGATAAACCTGGTTTTAAATCCTAGCTCCACAACTTACCTAACTGTATAATCTGAGGCAAACCTCTTTGAGTCTCTGTTTGGTCATCTGTACAACACAAATCCTTGTATTAATGAAGAACTGTCATGTGGCTTGGAATGAATGCAGGTAAAATGCATTGCACATAGGTGGCCCTCAAGAAATGGGAGTTGGTAAGATTCTGATCAACTTGCTGCCCTGGTGTGGCAGACAGAAACAGCAGTATTCCAAAGAGCAGGAAGCAAACGCTATCTCCAGCAGTAGGCAAACCTGTTTTCTAGTTCCAGTTCTGCTACTGGCACACTTGGTGATTATGGGTAGATTGCTTTCCAGGCCTCTCGTGATAGATTAAATGGAAAGGAAATGTGAAAGTAAGTTGAGAAAAATTGTAATGCATTTTAAGTATATCTATTTATATGTAAAATATATATAATATATGTATATTCCTCACAAATAAATGTGTCAGCACTCAAAAAGTATAGTTAAGATCCATTTTAACCCCATTTGGAGAGGATCTTAAATGCTTAACATTAATGCCGTTAGAGAAGGTAAGGCTCCAGGCTAATGGTCCTCTTGGCCTCCCTCTGTGACAAATCCAGAGACTCTTGCCTTTGTGAAGCTCGGGTTTTTCTGTGATCTGAGGTATCCCAAGATCTGATACACCTCTGACTTTAACACTTCCATAGCAAGTCAGCATTATAGATACAGATATGTTAGTGATCCAAATTCACAACAAAAGGGACTTTTATATTTATTGCTACTGTTTGCAATTTGGGCTAATAGAGAACATTACAAGGCCTTTTCTCTCAAGAAAGTACTTTGTGATGATCTCAGTGAAAGTACAAAATTCATCAAAGCAGCCGTTTATATGTTGATTTGAAGTTACCCTAGGAGAAAGAGACTTTGGGGTCAAGTTCCAGGTCTGAAACAAATTTTCTGTGTGACCTGAAGAAAGCCCCTCTCTTGCTCTGGGCCTCAGTTTGTCATTTGTAACGTGAGGGGAGTGGACCTAGTGTTCAAAGGGCTGTTTCAGCTCTGACTTTCTAGGAGTCTCAATAGACCATAGGAGCCAAAGATTTAATTGAGTTTGTGCCTATAAGCAGAGAATGACAGTGTTCCTGTCTTCATCTAATCAGGGTGCCTGCCTCATCTAATCATTAAGCACTTGGCTTACTTCAAGAATCTTGGTCTTCAAAATGCTTAAAACAAAAGGAGATACAAACAGATGGATCACAGAAATAGAAAGGCAAATACACTTAAACATATGACAGAATGCTCAAGCACACTCAGCATAAGAAAACTGTAAAACCTACACTGAGTTACCATTTATTTATTTATTTTTAAAAATTATTTATTTGAAAGAGTTACAGAGAGAGAGAGAGAGACAAACAGACAGACACAGAGAGAGAGAGAATCTACTGGTTCACTCCCCAGATAGCTACACAGTAAGGGCTGGACCAGGCTGAAGGCTGCAGCCAGAAGCTTCTTCCAGGTCTCCCACATGAGTGGTAAGGACCTAAGCACTTGGTTCATCTTCTGCTGCTTTTTATAGGCCCTCAGCAGGGAGCTGGATCAGAAGTGGAGCAGCCAGGACACACACCAGTGCCCACATGGGATGCGGGCGTCATTGGCAGTGGCTTTACCCACTATGCCGCAATGCTGGCCCCAAGAACTACCACTTATTAACAGATCCTAATGCTTGGCCACATTCTCCACTGAGAGGATCTGGAGAAGTAGGCTCTCTAATATATTGCTGGTGTGCAGGCAGTGTAGCCCCAGAGGTGAGAAACCTAGAATATCTAACAAACCTGCATATTCAGTTACTCTTTGACTCAGTAAACCCACCTTTTAGGTCTCTACTCTAAACATGCCTCCAAAAATACAAAACAACATACTCTTATGTATAAGGTTTGCCATTGCAGTATGATTTTTAATAATAAAACATTGGAAGCAACACAGATATTCAATAATAGGGAACTAGTTGAGTAAATAAGAGCGTATTCAATAGTGTGGCATTACAAAAAAAAAAAAGAATGAAGGCAATCACTGTTAACATTGTAGTGATTTACAGGGTGCCTGTAAAATAAACAAGCAACAACAAAAATTCAAGATGTAAAATAGAGGGTACAGTAAGGCTGTTCTTTTTAAGAAAAAAGAGAAACGCGAATATGTAAGAATATATACATGTATTTTCTTATTTTGTCAAATATGGAGCATAATAAGATAATTAAAAAAAATACTAATGATTCCAAAAGTTAAATGTAGAGTTATCACATGACCTAGCAGTTTCACTGGTAGGTATACAGGTACACCTAAGATAAATGAAAATATGTCCACAAAAATACTTGTAAACAAATGTTCATAGCAACTTTATTCATAGTTATCTAAAAAATGAAATAACTCAAATGTCTATCAACTAATGAATGGCTAAACAAAATGTGGTATATTCATAAAATTGAATATTATTTAGCCATAAACAAAGTACTAATACATGCTACAACATGGATGGACTTTGAAAACATTATACTATGTGAAATAATCCATTTATTAAAAATACCACAAATTATATGATTCCACATGTATGACATGCCCAGAATAGGTAATTTATTGAAGCAGAAAGTAGATTAGTGACTGCTGAATGCTGGAAAGTGGGGGTGTGAGAAAGACTAGGGAGTGACTGATAATGAGATTTCTTTATGGAGTGATGAAAATTTTTGAAATTAGATAGTGGTGACAGTTACATAACTCTGTTAATATACTAAAAACCACTGAATTGTACCCTATAAAGGGGAGAATTTTATGTTATATGAAATATATCTCAAATAGTTGTAAAAGTAACCTAATGAAAATGGTTATGAATGAGATAAAGATAAGAGCCGGGTTCCTCTGAGTCTGTCTCCTTATACGGTTTTGGCTTTCAAGCAATTTTAATTTTTTTACATACCCAAAAATAAAATTAAACCCAAAGGAAAATATTATAAACACTAAAATTGAACCTTTAAAGCAAGTAAATCTAATATCTATCAATTTTATAACACAGTCACATGGAGAATGCAGTTATTTCAACTAACTTGTCAACACAGCCTCCGACTCATCATTAATGGATTATACTCCAAAAACAAGAAGGGCTGCAAAAAGTTTTCAGCATCAGGCAGTAGGTCTATTATTAGTGACAATATAATTATAATTCAGAACACACACACATTTCACAAGAAAGCAAAAATGTAAATATATTAATGATATCAAGAATCAAGATTTATGGTATAAAACAAACAGATACAGATACAAGATTGAAGATGTAAGAGGTGGGCCTTTGGTGCAGTAGTTAAATCGCCAGTTGGGGTACCCACATCCCATATCAGGGTAACTAGTTTGAGTCCCAGCTGCTCCTCTTTTGACCCAGCTTCTTGTTAATGTGCACCAGGGGAAGCAGCAGGCGATGCCTCAAGTCCTTGGGTCTCAGCCACCCATACAGGAGACCTGGGAGTTCTGGGCTACTGGTTTTGGCTTGGCTTAACCCTGGATGTTGAAGTCATTTGGGGAGTGAACCTTCAGTTAGAAGACCTCTGTCCATCTCTCTCTCTCTCTCTCTCTGTCCCTCTCTGTCTCTCTCTCTCTCTCTCTCTCTCTCTCTCTCTGTGTGTGTGTGTGTGTCAAATAAAATGGAAACAAAAAATAAGAGCTAAATATAGAAAAAATATGATGTTAGATTGAGAATGTCAATATGAACTTATGATTTAAAAACAATAACAGAAACAACAAAAAACTGTTTACTAAACCAGTCTTGAAGTTATTCCACCCAAAAAGGAATGAGAACACCTAGTGTTCAGTTCTTTGTTACAAATTACATTACCTTTTCAGCAGCACCAGGGATGCTTAGAGAAATGAATAATTCCAGATGTGGGGCAAGGAAAGTATCAAGGATAAACTGTACCATGTAGAGGAGGGAGAAATCTCTTTTACCCACTGCTTAGCTCTTATGTGGGCTTCTTGGTTGGATCTAGGAGCTCAATAAATATGAGCGGAAAAAGCATAAAAGTTTCATTGAATTTACACATACATGGGGATCTTTTTACAAGAGAGAGAAGTCTGAAGACATGACTGAAGCACGGTGCTTTTCGTACTTTTCAGATAAAGGATGATAAATTTGTGAAGGAAGAGGACAAAGGAACATCTGGACTAGGGTAATATATCTTAGGGATGTTATGAAGAGATATATGGAAGAGGATGTAGAAGCTACTGGAAGATAAGGGCTACTTCAAAGTTTGTTTATTCAGGTTCATTGCAGCCTCAATTACCAGTCTGTGTTGATCAAGGCTATTTTCCAGCCTTGGTATGTGAAGGACGTCCCTCCCCAAAGACTCTTTATGGCTTGCTGCATGTAGAAGAAGATAGGCCAAATGGCTCTTTCTGAAGTTACAGTTCCTCAAGTGATTTCAGCTTGAAATAATCAATTTACCCATTCAGCACATTTTTCAATGACATGTCCTTAACTCCTTCAACCACATGGCAAGGAAAAACTGAAACAGTAACAGGGTCAGGTTGAAAGGACGCAGAAGCCTGTTTGAAAGGGCTTGATACTGATGACATTTAGGGCAACCACGACATCAAACACGATATATAATGTACATCAAACACGATATATAATGTGTTTGTAACACACTGAATAAACAGAAAGTCATGGGAGTAGGTGGAGCAAAGAAATCTCTTTATTGCAGAAGAATGCCAGGTAATAA